TCTCTCTCTCCCTCTCCCTTCCTCACTGAAATCAATAAAAAATTTATTAAAAAAATAAAATAGTCAAACTCTTAGAAGCAAAAAGTAGAATGGTGGTTGCCAGAGAAGGGGGAGAGGAAACAGAAAGTTAATTAATGGACATAATGTTTCAGTTAAGCAGGATGAAAAAGTTCTAGATATCTGTTGTACAACAATGTGCCTATAATCAACAATATTACAGTTAAAAATCTGTTGAGGGTAGCCCTGGCCAGTTTTTCACAATGGTTAGAGTGTCAGCCCTTGCACCGAAGAGTCTCAAATTCAATTCCTGGTCAAGGGCACGTGCCTGGGTTTCTGGTTCGCTCCCTATCCCCTGGTCAGGGGGCATGTGCAGGAGGCAATCAGTTGATGCGTCTCTCACATCTATGCTTCTCTTTCTGTCCTTCTCTCTCCCTCTGCTTCCTTCCTCTCGCGCTCTCTCTGAAAAGCAATGGAAAAATATCCTCTGGTGAGGATTTTTAAAAAATCTATTGAGGGTAGATCTCATATTAAGTGTTCTTGCCACAATTAAATAAAAAATGAAAAATATCCTATTTCCAAATTTTTAAAATAAATTATTTTTGTAACATATACATTCTGAAACAATAAAAGAAAAAAAACCATAATCTTAATAATGATAATATTTGTACAATAGAATAGTTCCCTGGTTAATTTTAATTTCAGTTTCCTATTGTTTTTGTGTAGAATATGGAAGGCAGACTTTGAAGTCAGAAAAATCTGAGTTCAATTCCTACCTATGATTTAAAATTTCTGTCACCTTGAACAAGTTCCTCTATTTCTCTGTACACATAAACCCATGAGGCAAAGAGTATCTGCCTCACAGGGTTGCTATGATTAAAATTAAGCAAGATGACATGTTAAGTGCTAGCACAAATGCCTGGCAAGCGCTCAAAAATTATATTATGAAAACTCCAGTTAGAATTATACCTAGTTTGTTTACCTTTTACCATCATTATTATTTTTCTGTTGAACAAACAGTACATAACATATTGTTCTGAAACCTAGTCCATGCCCACAATTATTTTGGGTCTTTCTCGTGTCACAATTTTTTTGCCTATTCCCAACAGAATCTTAGCACGAAATTCTTTCTTTACCAATTCTGCTAAACCAGCATCACAGGACTATTTCTGTGGTGCAAAAAAACAAAAACAAAAATTTAAAAAAAAATTCTCTCATCCTTCTGATTTAGGTTATGAATAGAGCTCTGACATTTGAAGTACACCAGGTTTGGATGAACCAAGGTTTGGAAACTGTCATCTTAGATCTCAAAACTCTTGTACTTACTTGGGTCTTCAGAAAACACACTTGGGGGAATGGGACAGCCAGGGCCTTTGGCCTAGATTCCTAAGTCTGCAAGTTACCAGCCCCATGGCCTTGAACAAGTTTCTTCATCTCTTCCCACTCAGTTTTCTCACTGATAACAGAGGGAAACCAGAGCTTACAAGGTTAGGATCTGCAAAGCCCATTATCTAGCTTTGCACAGTAGGAAACCGATGACCCACTTGGGTGCTGTAAAAGTAGAGCTTTTAATCGTAATTCTTGTACCTAAATAAAACAAAAGTTAACCCTCAGGATAACAAATGCCACTAAATGCCTTGCACATAAACGCAAATACCTACATTTACTACTTTACTGATAGAAGCATTATCAAAAGCTGAAACCATATTCCATGCCATTTACTTCATTTAGATTTCAATTTTACAAGGAAAATATGGGACACAACTTTTTATGTTTTGGAACCCAACTTTTTTTAAAAAATATTTTTTTATTGATATCAGAGAGGAAGGGAGAGGGAGAGAGACAGAAACTTCCATGGTGAGAGAGAATCATGGATCGGCTGCCTCCTGCATGTCCCTCACTGTGGATGAAACCTGCCACCCAGGCATGTGCCCTGACCGGGACTCCAACCCCAACCTCCTAGTTCCTAGGTCAACGCTCAACCACTGAGCCACACCAGCCAGGCTGGGACACAACTTTTAAGACATGATCAGAATAGTTAATAAGAAACTCAAATAAATTTGATCACCAACACAGAAATATCTCATAGCTGATTTTAGGGGGTGGTATTCAACTCGAGTAGGATTGTCTGGATTCAGATCTTAATTCTCCCTAGCTGCTAGAGCTAAATCAAGCTACTTATCCAGTTCTGTGACTCAGTTTCCTATTTGTTAAATTCAACAAACTATGTATTAGATACCTACTAATTGCCATTTACACACACACACACACACACACCCTTCCCATGCCAGTGGTTACCACCAGGATTGAAATATGTATTGAATGCTTAGAATTAGCTGACAAAAGTAGCAGAGTCCAGAGAGGATGAAGTTTCAGACAGTAGCAGCTGGAGGTTGACTACCTAAATCCAATTCCTGGCTTTGCCACTTCCTGCTAGGTGATCTTGGCTATCACTGGACCACTCTGTGCCTCATCTTCCTCATGGATAAGAGGAGAATGATAGTAGCCTAGCTCATAGGGTTGTTGAAAAATTAAACCAATTGATATATGCAGAGTACCTGCAACAGAAGCCAGAACCTAGAAAATGCTCCTGACGTGTTAACTGTAATTTTTATCACACTGTGCCTATCCCGGCATATAGAAGGCACTTAGCCAACGGTTGCTATCATACACCTTGCCTTGGATTTTTTTGGCCAAGTAAATTATATGGTAGTATTAAATTTTTTCTTTTAATCTTTTTGTTGAAAGTATTACCTGGGCCCCCCCCCCCCCCATTAACCGCTTCCAGTCCGCTCCCGTTCTCCCCTGGCCCCTCCTGTATTAACATTTAAAAACTGGAAATGTTCATCAAATTTTTTTTTAAAATATATATTTTATTGACTTTTTACAGAGAGAAAGGGAGAGGGTTAGAAACATCGATTAGAGGGAAACATCCATCAGCTGCCTCCTGCACACCCCCCACTGGGGATGTGCCCACAACCAAGGTACATGCCCTTGACCAGAATCGAACCCGGGACCTTTTAGTCCGCAGGCCAACGTTCTATCCACTGAGCCAAACCGGTTAGGGCTCATCAAATTTTTATAAATATAAAACTTAGTATGACACTAGATTCCACAAATGAATTATAGTTCAATATAAGCTTTATAGTTAGGTTGCTAGTCGACTTAAAAAAAATGTTTTGTTTTACAGAGGGAAACATTGATTTGTTATTCCACTTATTTGTATATTCATGTTACTTCTTGCATGTGCCCTGACCCGGGATTAAACCAGCAACCTTGGCATATAAGGACCATGGCTCTCACCAAGCGAGCTCTCTGGCCAAGGCTTGTTGACTTGACCTTTTTAAAATGTTTTTTAGACATTTTCATTGTTCAGCCTCTCCTAGGAGTTAAATTTTACGCCACTCAGCCTGGAATTTCCTAACCAACACCAGTGAGGGATGAAGTTCTAGACCTGGACCATAAATGCCCCTACATGCTTCTCTATGCAGTGGCTCCAACCGTCCCAGGACAATTGGGCTAGTAGGTAGTCTGGGACGCTAAGTGATTGTGTGTAGCGGTGCCCTCCCCAGCTCACCTCACTAGACCCTAACGTGAAAATATGAACAGTGGTACTTTTAGAAGTGGAAGCTGTCACCCCAGCGGAACTGCCTTGCAAGTCTCACTCTTCAACCCTTTAGAAAGTTCCAAGTGGGCAAATGAACCTTTGTACTGGGCCCAAAGCAGTTTTTATTCCAAGCTGTTTGCAACGCTACCAAAAAGCAGACCTCATACCTCATGAACATTCTAGAATTAGCATCATTGTTAGCTTACCTGCACCTGCAGAAATCCCTTCCTTCTGTTCAATTATTCACCTCCTTTTGGAACACCATTTGGGTTTGTCTGAACGGGTACACAGCAGCTTTGTGCACAGAAGAGTGGTTCTATGGCAAATCTCACAGGGTGATCTGATCATAAAATCCTAACTGGGCAGGTCACGGTGGGTGGTCACACCCCAGGCATAGAATAGGAAAAAGGCCTATCTTCGCCTAAGCAAGCCGTCTTGTGTCTGTGCATCTAAATAGATCAACACACCTTTGAAACGCTTCTTTTCAAACTCTCTTCTAAAGCCAACCACCCTCAAGACCAGTCTTAACTATTCTGTAATCCAATCCCATTCTTGTCTTCTCCCACCTTCATGTAATCTTCCTTACTCTCCAATGCATTAAAAAACCCTGCAAACTACCATTCTGGGAGTATCAACTCTTATAGGTTTGGATGTTTCTTTTTTTAAAAAATATATTTTATTGATTTTTTACAGAGAGGAAGGGAGAGAGATAGAGAGTTGGAAACATCGATGAGAGAGAAACATCGATCAGCTGCCTCCTGCACATCTCCCACTGGGGATGTGCCCACAACCCAGGTACATGCCCTTGACCCGAATCGAACCTGGGACCCTTCAGTTCCCAGGCCGACGCTCTATCCACTGAGCCAAACCGGTTTTGGCTGGATGTTTCTTATGTCAATGGATTCTGTTCTTTTGCATCTCAAATAAATGCCTATTGCCTCTCAAAGAAAATGTAACTGCCGAAACCGGTTTGGCTCAGTGGATAGAGCGTCCGCCTGCGGTCTGAGGGGTCCCAGGTTCAATTCCGGTCAAGGGCATGTGCCTGGGTTGCGGGCACTTCCCCAGTGGGGGATGTACAGGAGACAACTGATCGATGTTTCTCTCTCATCGATGTTTCTAACTCTGTCTCTCTCCCTTTCTCTCTATAGAAAAATCAATAAAATATATTTTAAAAAAATGTAACTGTAAATTCATGGCTTTATATCAGTATCAAATATTTATGTACCAAGGCTAAATTCAATGTGAAAACTGAAAGCCTTGGTTCCCAGAATTCTCTGCAGGTTACTTAAGAAAAAAGCATAAACTAGAGAACCCTAAAACCATTTATTCATATATTTTTATTTGGAAATGTTTGTATCAGTACAGTGAAACTAAATTTTAAAAGACACTGGATGTCATCAGTTTGGATATCATTAGTTTATTATAAAAGAGACACGGAAATTATTTACATGATGAAAGATTTCAGAACTTCAATGGAATGGGCAGCTTCACATGATGCCATCTCAATAGTGATTTATTTCAGTCTACATACTTTCCAAGAATGTCACCATCTCTAAATAAGAAATAGTCCTGCAAATAGAGAAACCATTAGTTAAGGGAAAAAAAAAAAGCAAACATGTAACTTTTTAAAATTACTAAGTTTTTAAGAAAATACATTAAGTTTACACACCTTGTCGTCTATAACTACTTTGGTGCCTCCATATTCTGGAAGAAGAACTTTATCTCCAACTTTCACGCTAACAGGTTGAACCTCTCCACCCTTCAGAAAATAAGGATATGCATTAGCAAAAACATCTAGCTCACAAACATTCACACCTAACTGGGGTTAATCAAATTTGCTCCCTCAAGCCAAGTGTTGAAAAAGGACTTGGTAGTGAAGTGATATGGTATCTACAACCTTAGTTCTTCACTCCAAGGTATCACCGGAGAGTTAGTTACATTTTGAAACAATGCCCACACGGTGGCTTAAACTAAAACCTGACTTCAGTGTAAAAGTTCAAGAAGTTATACAGGGAAAAAGCTAACTTAAGCTAATTTTTTAATGGTTAAATATTAACATAACCTATGGACCGGACCGTTTGAAATAAGCCCGTTTTTAAAACCATGTGCACACGGGCATGTTTAATTCAGCATTCAAAAATGTTAAGAAAAACGTCCTGAGTTGGAACAGACTGCTTTGGGATTCAATTTCCAGATCTGGAGAGAGACAGGGACTGAAGCGCAGGGTTCGCTTCCTACAGGCTTCCTATTCCTGGCTCCTTGCTAGAACTTTCTTGCAGGCAACTTGCAACAATGCAATTCCCATATTTGACCCCAAGGGCATTATCTGTGTATTCAGGGTGACACTTGGAGAGACTGAGATCTAACCAGTTACCTGGAGGATACCTGGAAGGCACAGTGCAACCTGTTAGCTTCACAGGTAAGCCAAGTAAGGGAAAAGGTGTGTGTGTGTGGGGGGCGGGGGAGGGGGCGTCAGGTACGGCAGCCTCAGAGTTAGAGAGAGTAGCCCGATTCTTAAAGGCCCGCCTTCAGCAATAGCAAAGCATAATTCTGTTTTCATCTTCTCCGACTCTCCACGTAAAAACGAGCAACTTCATTTTACGATCATTTTCATTAAAGAGCCAGATCAGACGGGACAGAACTAAGAAAACGACCCGAAAACAATACCAGCTACTTAAAGGGCTACTTTTAATAACAACCAAGGATTTATCTTCCCTTCCACTTCACACACACACACACACGACAGCTCCAACTTAGCTCCGGTTTACCTTTCCCTTGGAGCCGGACCCCACGGCGACGACGGTGGCCTGCAGCACCTTCCCCTGGGCCTTCTCCGGCAGCATGATGCCCCCCTTGGTGACGGTCTCCGCGGCGCTCCTCTCCACCAGCACGCGGTCGAAGAGGGGGAGGAACTTCCGAAAGGCCTGTCCTGCCTGCGGGAGGGAAAGGCCCGGTGGGAACAGCGGCCGTGGCCATGCCGTGCACAGGCCATGCCTCGGCGAAC